GCAAGCGCAAGGTTGTGTGAGTTTGATTCCCGGTACAGAAAAACAACCAAAAAAAAAAAAAAAAAAAAACCTTATGTCTTCATTTTAAGGCACTTGAACTTCATCTTGAAGAAGATGGAGTGCCCAATGAAATTTTAAAAAAAAGTGATATAAACAGATTTGCAGTTAGAAATTCAACTCTGGCCAGGGTTTGAAGGAGGCATTGTAGAAAGACGAGATCAGAGGAGATCAAAGGTAATTAGCAGACTGATGTGGTAACCCAGAGAGGAAAAAAAAGAACAAGGACTAGAGCAGCAATTCCAGAGGGGGCTGGACCCTAGAGAAATGCTGCCCCTGCTGAATGAACTCTTTCTAGGGCAACTGAGGCCAGGGGTCCTGGGTAAAGGCCAGACCCAAAGCAGCCAACGGATACATGTCAAAAGGAAAGGCTTGGAGCTGGGGATTTAGCTCAGCAGCACAGAGCCTGCCTGGCAAGCGCAAGGTCGTGAGTTCAATTCCTGGTACCAAAAAAAAAAAAAAAGGAAAGGCTTTAACTTTGTGAGACCCTATCTCAAAATAAAAAATAAAAAATGACCAGGGACCTAGCTCCATGCAAAGGAGCTAACACCACAAAAACAAGTATTTAAAATCCATCCAAGTCTGGGGACATAGAGCACTTGGATGAGGTCTGGAATCATCCCTAGCCCTACATTAAAAAATAACTATAATCAGTAAGCTTTATATATTGGGGGTCTTGCTCTGTAACACAAGGTGGCCTTGAGCTCACTGTGTAGCTCAGCCTGGCCTTGAACTCAGGGCAGTGTTCCTGCCTCAGCCTCCCGAGTGCTAAGTGCTGGGATTGCAGGCGTGTGTTACCGCTGTGCCCAGCCTATAATCAGTATGCTTTGAAAAAAGGAATTGTAACAATTGTTTCAATGCTGTGGTTTGTATATTCCTAGACAATTTATTTCTCACTGCCGGATTGTTCTGACCTAGACCCCTGCTGTCATCTTTGATTTTCAACAGCCTTAATTAATATATTGATTGGGAACTGTCTCAAACATTCTGATGAAGAGTACAGCAAAATCAAATTGATAATAATTAGCCAGTATAATACTGCTTTGAACTTATACTTTCATATAAAGTATATATATTTAATGTATCTCAATATTTTAATGTATTTTCATACCTATACACATTAGCAGTTCTGTTTTTAATCAATAAACAAAATTCCATATAAAAAAGTAAAGGCTTTAATCCTCCTCATCACAAACTGAGGAAATACATGACCAAAACTAACAACTGGTGTTATGCAGAGGATCATAAAGTTCATAAAGCCTTTAATTATAAAAGATTATTGATGAGCTGGGTGTGGTGGTACACACCTGTAATCCCAGCACTGGGAGGCTGAGGCAGGAGGATCACCATGAGTTTGAGGCCAGCCTGGGCTACATAACAAAACTTTGTCTCAAAAAAAAAATTATTGAAATATTCTAATCCGGTTTAATCCCTCTTACAATAGTCTTGCCAAATAGAGAGGCAGAGTATGTTGAATAATTCCCACTGAGAGTAATCCTCTATGCCCCAAGAAAACTCTCATATTTGCTCTAATTAAGAGAAGGAAAAGAAGAAAATGAAAACTTTGTTCAATAGGGATTGAGATGTAAAGATTCTAGATGTCACCTGGATTTCCCTTGCCTTCCTTTCTCTTCCTGAAGTTCTCGGTGTGGTGGTACATAACTGAGGTGTAGCCTGGCTTCAGGGAGAGGTGAAAGGAAGCTGTTCCCCTAGTGATGGCTGGGGTCGGGAAGCAGTCCTCTCCCACCCCCAAGACCTCCCCCCGTTGCCGTCCCGTATTAGCATTTCTGAAGACACAGCACTTTAAACTAAGTTGCATTAGGGTGTCAGGGAGGTGGGTCAGTTTCAAAGCTACCAACAAGGAAGAGCCCTGGAAGCATGACGAGGGAAGGCACAGCGAGGTCAGCCTGAGGGCCTGTGGTCCACGCGGAGAGGCAGTGGGGTACGCGGTGACTGCCTAGGAGCACCCGGAAGCTGTCCCACACCCCGTTTCCGGGATCCCGCCCTCAGCCATTTTCTGTGACTCAGGCTGGGGTGGTTTCCTGGGAAGTTTGTATTTGCTTTTTTTTTGAGAGGGGGGCGTTTTTTTTACTGGGGGGGATTGAATCCAGGGTGCTGTGCCACTGAGTTACAGCCCCAGTCCTTTTTATTTCATTCTGAGACAAGATTTCACCAAATGGCCTAGGCTGGCCGAAAGCTTTCGATCTTCCAGCCTCAGCCTCCTAGTCGCTGGGATTACAGCCGGGAGCCACCATTTCCAGCGCTGTACTTCATTTCCATACAAAGACTTCCTTGGAGTCATCAAGGTGCTTTTGGATAAAACCTTAAAAGTAAAATTAGTCAAATGGGATTACAGCATACTAAAAAGCTTCTGCTAAGGAAATAATTGTTGCAAAACTGCAGGATGGGAGAAAATATAAACTATACATCTGGGGGGGCGCTGGGGATTTAGCTCAGCAGCACAGCGCCTGCCTGGCAAGCGCAAGGTCATGAGTTTGATTCCCGGTACAGGAAAAAAAAAAAACAAAACCTATACATCTGACCATGTGTATACAATATAAAAGGATTTCCAAAATATGGAAGGAACTACAAAAACTGAACAGCAAATAAGCCAGTTTTAGAAGTGGGCAGTACGCCCGACAGATACGTCTCAAAGGAGCTGCGCGACGGCCGAGCACGTGACTAACGCTGAGGTTACTAATTATCGCGGAAAGGCGCAAGGAAACCCGGCGGAGGCAGCGCGGCGTGCGGTCGGAGGGCTGCGGCC